AATTTTTCCCAGGAAGTACATTGTACTAAAAACATTGTAAATAACAAATAATTTTGTATTGCAATACTAAACTTATATTGTCAATTGCAGTAAATTAGTAATTGGCAGTCATACAAATTTCTGAACAATAACTATTGTAAGGTATTGTAACCACATGTAAAAACATTTTCAAATATAAAATATTAAAAATATTATATGATATTAAAAAATAAATGGAATTATCATTTAAAACAACTGATTTTTCAAAACAATCAGAGAATATTCTAGTTGGCAAATGTAAAAAACCTGCAAATGAAAACAATCGTTCAACTGGCCTGGATGAAAATAAACTTGTGTTATAACGAATAAAGGTTTTTTTGTTGTCTGACAATGGTCCAGCATTCTTAATGATTTAGATTTATCATTTAAAAATGAAGAGAATCCAAATTCAACAGCTGAAAGTTCTAATTCTTGTTTCAATGATTGCATTCACTAGTGAAATCAATCAAAAAGAAACTACCCTGGTTTTAAACCATCTTCATTTCAAATGTAAGAAATGAACGCAGAAATAAGAAATAATATACAAATTCTAACTCACGAAGCATCCAAATGTCCAGACCTACGTCCATAAAGTACAGTAAATTCAGATCAACCATTATTTTTGTTTCCAAATTACTCTCAAAATACTCATATTTTCAAAAAATTGAACATTACCTTATTTGAAGACCTATTTTTGATACTTTTAAAAATATTTGGAAAATTTTCAATTTTCAAAAAAACAGGGTTGTCAACCAACATGAGACCTACACCACTCTCTTAAACATCCTTCAAACTATTCACCAACACAATTTCATAAAAAACAATGGAGCTGTTTTTGAGGGAAAGAAATGAAATAATGAATTGTCTACTTCAAGCAAAAAATACTGAAATTTTCAAAAAATTGCCCAAGACCTATTTCAAAACCTATCTTTGAGGAACATATTTTATTAAGGTAAAAGATCCCTATCTTTAATATTTTAGTTGTAGGAAGACACCGAAATTTTTTTTGGATATTTGCAATTTTCGAAAAATCAGGTTTTTAATGAAAATGAGACCTGCAGCATTCTCTTAAATGCTATTTACACTATCTAACAACAATTTAATCAAAATCGATGGTGCCACCGTTTTGAAAAAGTCTGAGGGGCTTAACATAAATGACTCCAAAATTAAACTATCGGTTGTAAATCCAAGGGGCTGAGACATCAGCCAGACCAATAGCAAAATATCACTTTTGGAGAAAATAGGCTGAACGGTTTAGCCACTAGCATTCTTCAGACTAACAGACAGTTTGCCGTCAATTGACTTTTCGGTATCAAGGACCTATAAAACATGGATTCCGGCTACACATGTTAGAGGATTCTTTTTCCTAAATTTAGCAACGGGATGTATACACATCTTCTTTACCAGGGCCCTGTAATGAGTTTTTTGGTCGAAAATACACCACTTTTTTGTGCAGCATTACATAACTTTCTCTTCTAAAGAAGTTCCTTCTTAAGTATGAGAAAGTAAAATCACATTAGTACAATTTTTTTCACTCTAAACTATTTTTTCAAATACCACTGAAAACACATTGTTCAAATACATGATATACTATTCCATCCAGTAAGTACTTCTACTAGAAGCCAACATTAATAAAATTCTGACACAAATGAAGTACATTTCCCACATGGTGTGTAAATTGCTCCAAGGCCTCGATGACCTTGGCCTCTGAAATACTTTTCTAAAGAAGTCTATTAGGCTTAAGTTGTGGAATCTACTAAAAGTAAAATTGCATGACAGTGTGTGGCCACACGACACAAATCCAATCTGACCTTCACACAATTCATTTTTCATAATAATGTGAGTAGAGCCTGGATGTTCAGGCATTTATTTTACCCATAATAGGCAGACAAAATGGCATTTAGGCATTCAAAAGACATTTATTGTAGCTTAAGCATGGGAATAAATAGTCGTGCAAATAATTAAAAATCTCATTTAAAAGGAATTATTGTAAAAAATTAATAATTAAAATTACAATTTTACACTAAATCTAAAGAGTATGTTAGCACTTACTGTGTAAGGAAATATTTTCTTTGTACCTAATCTTGATTCCACTTGTCTCTCTGGCATGATGGCTACAAATCTGTTTTACTTGCAATGCTCTCTTCAAAAATCTATTATTATCTCCCTTTTGAATCTTGAAATCGTCTCAGTGAAAATGGAATTATATTTTTCACTCTTTCCACTTGTGTCACAGCCAGAACTGATAAGGAGACATATATGGAGAGCTGTACTCAAATGAGATCAGAAGCCATACTGAAAAGTACGATGGGATTCCTTGTGAGTAAACAGGGAGGAGGGAGGGGAGGGGGAGGGGCAAAATGAAAAAAATAAAAAATCTGGACTGGTATTATCTTTCTATTTTATCTAGATTTTTACGCATCGTCTACTTCCATAGAAAGACAAAACACAACTTTCGTGTTGTCCAGGCTGGGCAGGTTTGTATCTAGTTTGATTGAGATCGGGGCCAAAAGAAGAAAAAAAGCAAAATAATGACATAAAAGGCATGAAGAGGCATCAGGAGCTACAAGAAGCAAAAAAAGGAAAGATAAAAATCTATTTAATTAACCCCAGAAGTACAATTAAGTGATTCCCATAGTTAAAAGTCACAAAATGGTGCTCATAAACAAAAGTCTCTCTAGTGATGAGAATTTTTTTAAAAATAAAATAACCTTGAGAGGTGGAGGATGAGAGATAGAGAAATTAAACTTTTTTACAAAAGTTTGGACTATTCTAGGAAAGACCCAGCCTATGCCTATCCTGCAAAACTGCTGTTGATGTATCCATAGGCATAATTGATACTTGGACACATAAAAATATACACATAATTACACGTAACTTGTTTTATTTATCAACATTTATTTACAAAGAACACCATATAATCATCTGTTCATTATATTTCATTTTACCAGAAATAGTAACCAGGATAACTTTCAATAGAGATTTCAGTTCCATAAAAATGAGCAACACACCATCTCATAAACATTTCATTACATGAAATATCATGTTAGTAAGATAGGAAATAACATATTACATTTTATTTAACTGAAACAAATAATTTCAAAATTTAAAAACAATTATTTTCATTGCCCCCAAAACCAATATTTGCAGCACAAAATCATTTTTATGAAGAAAGAATTAAAATACAGAGTAATTTAACACAAGAAAATACAAATATGTACATGAAAATATGTTTTTAATTGTGTTACATTACTTGCTGCTAATAACACTTTACAATGGTTATATTAACCATCAAATAAAGAGTACTTAATTCAATTAGAATTAATTATTCAAAAAGCATGCAAAATCAATGTAAGAAAGATTCTTCTGCATAAGACAGAAAGTACAACAAAGGCCTCTTGATACTTGTCAATAAATGGTTTTCTAAAAATCAAAAAGCAAACAAATTGAGTATGTGCTTTTCAGGGATTTGCCCAATTTTGCAGTACTCCTCTCAAAAATTTAAGAAATTACCATTGTTTAATCATATGAGAATTACTTTTTTAAACATTATTTTAAATGAACATCAGTTTTTCATTGTTGAGCACTTTTCACTTGAAACATATTTGATACATTGAGATACGAGAATGACAAAAAAAAGAAGAAAAAAAAAAATGAATTGGACAAGGTTGATGTAAGGCAACATTGGTTTAATTTACATAAGTTGTGAACAAACAACCCCAAGTATTTGTCAAATGGATCTACTGAGACAACAGGTACAGTCATACTACAATCATGGAACCCAACATTTAAAACTTCAATGTAAATGCAGTAAAACCTGTCTAAGCCAGAATAGTTTGGGTCCAACATTTTCTTTCATCTTGTTCAGGTTTCCCACTTATTCAAGTTTGCAATAAAAATTGTCAAATCTGAAAACACAATCATTCAAAGATGGAATAGGTTGAATGAGTAGTGTATTTCACTTAAAAAGTACATTTGAAAGAAAGGAAGACAACCCTGGAGAGGCCTTTAAAATTACATACACAAAAACAATACAAAGTCTAATGAAATAAAGAACTCCATAAAAAGAAAGAGAAATATTTGCATAGGTCTTCATGAATATTGTGTTAACTACTTATAAAATATTCCTTTTAATCACTCATTCTTGATTTTGTCTTTGTTTTCAAGGTGACATTAACTTGAGTTTTATCAACTTTAAATTTCTTTACCAATACTTTAACACAAGTGATGCTTTGTTTGTGCTCTTCAATTAGTCAATGTTTAGAACCACTGAACCCAAAACACAAATTATAACTACTGTGGAAGGATTGCTCTTCACGTCTCCTTTCTTTACTTAGGCTTATGAAAGAAGCAATTACAAATAAACAATGTCTTTCACAAGAGTAGTATAGGAAAGATGATGTTCAGATGAGGGTAACTGAGAAAGCGAACGGACAAGTGACCTCTGACTAGGTCACAGTATGATGTTTAATTTTAAAATAATATTTGTTTTCCATTTTATCCAGAATTATGCAAATCGTCGTATGAAAAATTTCTTTCCATTTCTGCGTTAGCCAGGTTTTTGGCTTATCCAGTGTACTTTGCGTTGGAAAATAACACGTTCTGAGATTGGGGGG